TGTTTTTCTAGCACAGAGGTTGAATTTATTCATACTGACAAATTTGACGTCCCTTTATTTGCACTCTATTATTTGTTCTAAGCTTTGTTAAAATTGGTGCTGATATGACCGAGTTATTGCATTTTAAAATGTGACTTTTTGTATTTTTAGTCACCTTGAAGACACAGCACTCTCTACAACTCTACCTAAGTCGCTTCTGAAGGAGTCTTTGGGTTGAAATGTTGAGCCATTTAAGAGACCAAACTTTTTTTTGGGTTATATTTATACCTACCGAGTTGCAAAAGTTCTGTCACACCCACCTTAAAAGTACAATAACTCGTTTACTATCCAACATAGCTAAGAGGAATTTGGTACACGAAATCTTTATTCATTTTCTGCCAACATGACATGAAAAGAATTGATAACTTTTAATGTCTTTCTTTATTCAAGGGAGATCATTTTATTCACACTGACCCTTGCAAAATCCAAATCAAAGTTTGCTCAGTATGGCGAGTGGCCTCTTCCAGCTTGAATAACTGATGCAAAACATCTGTTCGTTGACTGAATTAATGTCCTTATGGTTGTCTGAAATCCTCCAGTCAAAGCCATCTTCTTACAGATGTTCTGTTGGGTTACGGCTTGTTGGTCTTGCAGGCCAGTCCAGAACAACGATTCAATGAGTTTGGAAGGAGTTTTCACTGTTCGTAGCCATGTGTGGTCGGGCGTTGTCTTGTTAGCACGTTCCATCATCCGTGCCATGTAGGGCAGTCAACGTGACGATGAATTTCGAAACAATACCGTCGTCCTTTGAGGTTGCTTTGAAAAGTAACCAAATGTGTACGATACAGAGCAGAGATTCCACCCCGTACCATCACATTTCAGCCACCGATTCAGGCCTCTTGGGGGACGTTGGATTTGGGAAATTTCTATCCTCTTCTTTTAAACACTTTTTCTCTTCCATCAATGCGACGAAATAAAAACCTTAACCATTGCTTAAAAGAACACTTTACCAACGTCTTTAGTTTTATCGCCAATGTTGTTGAGCCAAAATTTGGCTATTTGTTCGATGTAACAGGGTTAGAATGACTCAACGCAAAGGGCGATAATCACGTAATCCACGATCTTATAAATGTCTAATAATGGTGTTTTAAGATAGTCCGAAGTACCTGACAGTCTATGCACTTAGTTGGAACGGGTTTCGTATGGGTATCGACAATAACCCAATTCTGACGTCGAGTTGTCCCCTTGGATGGCCTCGCCTAAGCTTGTCTTGGAAAGTTCTAGTTGTGTTAAAACGTTTGTTCAAGCGTTAGATGGTTCTTCTACACACATTTACGTGTCTTACAACAGCAGAAAGTGCAATTATAGAATTTATCATACACACAGCCCCTTCATTTTCTGAATTGATCAGTTTTTTATTTTGAAAAACAGGTGGAAAAAAAGGACCCAACCTTTAAAAAGTACGGAATTTCATAGTGTGTAAGGTGTGTTTACACATTGTCTACGTGATTCAAAGCAAATGTTGTGTGTAGGGAGCATTGATTTCAACGTAGACCTAGAGAAATCAATACCAACACTTTGTCTACGCACTACTTCCGGTTTATGTTTTCTTTCGTCTACTCTTGCACAAAGAGTCTCATAAGTCACACACAATTCGTACTTTAAATATTTACTGCAATTCTTACGCTGCACCGAAAATTATCGTAATGTAATTGGTGTGACAGAACTTTTGCAATTCAGTATATTTACTGTTCTAGAAAGATTCAAGACTCTACTTCCCTACTTTGCTTTTATACATTGTTGATCAGGTGGAGAAGCTACAACAACATCTGCAACGCAGACAACAGGGACGTCAGCATCGACAACAGATCCGTCAGCATCAGCAACTTCAGCAAAGGCAACAGATACGTCAGCACCAGCAACGTCAGCATCAGCAACGTCAGCATCGGCAAAAGGACCGGCAGCATCGGCAGCATCGGCAGCATCGGCAGCAACGGTAATAGGGCCGACAGCTTCAGGAGGTGGATGTAAGTAATCTATTTTGTTGTTGTTGTTGTTGGCTTTGCTTTTGCTGATTTTTTACAATTTTACTTTCTTTTGTTTTTGTTTTGTTTTGTTTGTGTTTTGTTTTGTCGGGGGGGGGGGGTATTTTTGCATGTCGTCCTAGTTGAGGTATTTAAAAAAGAACAAAACATTTTTTTCTGCATAATTTGTCTATTTTTAAGTTTGTTTATTTGCTTGTTGGTGTGTTTGTTGGTTTGTTTATTTGTTTGTTTTTGTCACCTTTTTAAAGGGGGGTTGTCTTGGGGGAATACTTCATGGGCTTTGTTTCTTTGGGACTTTTTTTTGGGGGGGGGGGTTGGGGTGGGGGTGGTTTTGTTGTTTTGTTGTTGGGAAGGGGGGGGGGGGGTATTTAACGCCTCAATTGCCATAAAACGCCTTGTAGAAAGCTAGGGCCGCACACTTATTGACCTACATTTTTCCAGTAACAGAGGAAGAAAAAAAGAAGATAAAGGAGGTCACAGATATAGCTGGTAAGGACCCGACTTGTTGCAGTGGTTCAGCACCGACAGGCTCATTCTCAACCAAGAACGAGGGATGCAGGTAAGCCGTTCTAGAAAGCTGGGGTATTATAATAATTATTTGATTGGAGATAAATCGCTGGTCGGATCAAACCCTTTTTAAATGTGATATCTTACACCCCATATCAACACAATTATTTAAGTGGCGTCGGTGGCCTAGTTGTTTGGTTACCGGGCTCTGAGTCGTGAGATTATGGGTTCTGGGGTTCGAGCCTCAGCTCGGTCCGACGTTGTGTCCTTGGGAAAGACACTTTGCACAAATGTCCCCTTTTGGCTCAGCCCTTATGGAGATAGACGTTAACCTCGGAGGTACCGCCTCTTACACAACCTAATAGTGTTGATAGGAGCGTTAAAAATATACCATTTCATCATTTTCACAACAAAATTTAGATCATTTAGGAAGAGGACTTTGGCCCTAGACTGTCTGTCAGCGCCAACCTGGGCTAAGAGAGATACAACGTCCTTGCAGAGAGACCGGGATGCTCGATAGAAATTCTCCCCGCATAGGTATCAAACTAGGGTCGTCTGCTCTCGACTGCTGAGCGCCAAACCGCTATACCACAAACACCAGTGAACAAACTCTAATCTGAGTTAAGTTTTAGTAGAGGGTTTTACGGCGCTCGCAACTGCATAAGGCCATATGATCGTCAAGGGGGGGGGGGGGTGTCAACAGAGAAATCTTTACAGGGAATCAGACTTACTCTGCTCACCTCTTAAGCTTCAACAGCACAAAGTCTGCTTCGACTATCAAGGCACCCCGGAAATAGCAGGTCACAAGAGTGTAACAAACATACAAAAGAAGTAGAGGAAAATGACAATAGTAAGGATTAGGAAAGAAAAAGCAGCAGTTCCCTGTTGTAGATGAGGCACAGTTATGAGCGTGACATGAATCAGCCCATTTACAATTCTACTGTGCTTGAACGAGAAATGTCCCCCCTTTGGGAATGGCCTAAAGACACTACAGTCAGTGGCACTGCTCCAGGGGTTACAACGTCCTTGCAAAAAGACCGGGATGCTCGATGGAAATTCTCCCCTCATAGGTATCAAACTCGGGTCGTCGGCTCTCGACGGCGAAGCGCCGAACCGCTATACACCACAATTACCGGTGAACAAAACTCTAATCTAAACAACAGTTAATGAAAAGTGCAGTTGGAAAATAGCCTAAGTCACAAATCTCTATTTTTTTCCATTGTCTGTTCTGATCTATTACTTGTGTTACTCCAAGGATATTGCTTATCGGTACCATCTTTATCACAAATAGCTGTAGTCGCGTACTGCTAGTGACAATATTAAGACAGTCTCCCAAGGAGAGAGCCGCAGTGGTCCATTACAGCGACATGTCTATGAGCCCTTGATAGAGAGGCAGTAAAAGTATATATATATGTATTACATTTCCTGGGGAAAATTCCGTTTTTGTAGGTGGTGGGTGTGTGCTCCAGTGTGGCATGCTCCTTACTTCCCATCAAAGACTTTAGCGTCCTTATCTCTCCTGCTCCTTTTCTTGGTATGTTACTCTCCACTAGCACCTCTAATCTTGGGCACTGATATAACCTATTTGTGTTGCAAGCGACACAAAACTGCAGCATAGTCTAAATGCTAGTTTCCCCTTGAGGTCTTCAAATGTGTCCTACAGCTGGCATATTATAACAGTATTGAATTTGCGGAATCGGGACTTTTATTTTTAGGAAGTGTTTTACGGTACTTGCAACACAATAAGGTCATATAAGAGCGGAAGATTAGAGGTGTTACAAGAGAGTAACACACACAAAAAGAAGAAGGGGAGATAAAGGCGATAGATGTTTAATAGGAAAGAAGGGGCAAGCCACACCAGAGCACTCGCCAACCACCCACAATCGGAAATTTGCGCTATACAAATGCTATCTATTATTATTATCTATTTCTTTGAACGTCTCTTTTTTCAGCTTTCTAAAGACGTACCTCGGAACATGTGATAAAAAAAAAGCAATCTGTGAAACACATATCAAGAAAATCACAGACGGCTATAATGCTTTGAAGTGTAAGTTGATTCCCCTTTTTTTTCCTAGGCTACATTGATTAATTGCCCGATACCGTCGTAGTGGTGATGTGCTTTTCTTTAATCAAACCCAAAACCCTGTGAGGATGATATCGTTAGATCTATATGAAGAGACGCTCAATCGAATTTGGAGGTGTGATGGTTGGGTTGTTGGTGCTGAACCCACCCCGGACCCCCCCCCCTCCCAAAAAAAAGACGAAAATCAAATACAAAGTGGGAGGGGGGGGTGTCAACAAACACAAACAGAACCTCCTCTAGGCCCATATCCGATGTGATGTTGATAAGCATCATGTTTGTTTTTTGTGTGTTTTTTTTAATTAAAACAAAGAAGAAAGAAGAAAACGAAAAGGCGAAAGAAAAGCCAACAACAGCAACAAATATAAAAACGGGAAACAAATTTACCC